CTTAACCAAGCATAACGTAATTAGGAATTCTATTCAAGTAATTTTGCATGCGTAATTAAGATATTTGATGAAAACACTAGTGACTTTCATCAAGTATCCAAATAGCATCTTGTGATCAAATAGGTGATTATCATTGGCTGAATTACTCATGAATTATTAATGAATTTGAGAAATATTTTTCTTAAGTTTGTTCTTCACTCAATAATCACAATCCCAACCCTACCTTGTGACCGTAATTATGTACTGTATGAGTGATAACCAACCATGACCATATGCCCCTCGGACCTCAGGAAATTTAAAGAAAAAATAAATAGTCAAATGCAGAAACCACAATCACATGCACTGGCATAGGTTCTCTGTGTCATGTCATGTCCAATCATGGTTCTCTAAATTTTGTGAAAAATAAATTTAATTTAAAATAATAATTTAATATCTTTAATAAAATATAGTTTATTTATCAAATTAAAGATAATAGAAATTGACTGGTGCATGAATAATGGCATATCGACATACAGAAATGGACAGAAAAAACAACATACATGTCGCAATGGACCTTAATTAGAAGTACTTATCTTATGTCATTTTCAAACAATGAATTAAAGTATCGTTGTACAACACTCGATCTGTATTAAAAATTGCGTGACGTGTGCACATGCATGTAAGGTGTATTGAAACTGCTAGAGCGTACACATTTTCTATGGGCAACTGCTGACCAACATGTTGAATTCGAACATGGTCAAATTCCTGACCAGGCAGAATGACCTTGCATCAACTTCCCACAGGGGCAGCACAAACTGCGAGGCAGCGAGGCATGCGAGGCATGATGCGAGGCAGCGAGGCGTCGTGCGAGGCATGGTGAAAATCATAACTAACACGTTTAAAGTGCCTACGAAACCCAAAATTTAATGAGAATGAAAAAAATACATTACAGCCTTAGGCGGTGGAACTTTAGTTAACTCATCTTCAGGCCGAACCGGTACGTCTTTCTGAATTCTACAGTATATTCTATTGTATATTCTGTAAAAAGCAGGAATAATTCTGTAAGCAAAACAAGGTTGAAAGTTTTCGAGAAATACCTCAAGGGCGTCACAATGAATATTGTCGACCTTAAAAGCCATGTATCTCAATTTAACTTCAAACTGCTTGATACAATGGGATACATACAGGATTTAAGAATTTCTAAGGACTCCGTCACTTGCTCCTCACCTGTATTATGTACTGACATGTGCCATCATCGGACTTGGATCTTACGTAAGATTTTTGACTTCGACAAAACAGAAGCGTTAATTTATAAGAAGCATTTTTCAACCAATGAATGGTCAAAAATTGTACAGGCATTCCCTGACAAAGTTCCACTAGCACAACTGCCCGCGTCCAAAGATGAACAACGCTACCTTGTAAACGTACGCCATTCAAACCGAGATGCAAAATGTGCTACATGTAAATTAAAAAACTTTGCGTTCGGGAGACGTACAGACAACGACCGAAGGTCCGCAAAGAACCGGCATACTGCGTAACTGGATAATACACACGTTCTTTTTCTGTCCGAAATTAAGTTGCTTCGGCACAATGCCTCGTAACTCGTACATTCGTCCGTGTATTTTTTCATTTTCATTAAATTTTGGGCTTCGTAGGCACTTTAAACGCGTTAGTTATGATTTTCACCAATTGCCTCGCACGATGCCTCGCTGCTTCGCATCATGCCTCGCTGCCTCGCACCATGCCTCGCTGCCTCGCATGATGCCTCGCAGATCGTGCCTCGCATGCCTCGCACTATAGTTAAACGGCTCCTTCCCACCTGTACATATATAAGGAGCTGACACCTTAGGTCAAATGCCTGCATGGGAAGAATGATCACGGTAATAGCAGTGCTGGAAAATGTCCAGCAGTGCCAGCTAGCAGCTGGCTGCCAGGAGATATTGAACAAAATATCTTCGCAAGTATTCTTCTTACATACATCTTGCAGGAAAGTTTTGTCATCTTACTGTATATACTAGAATGCCAAGTAATTTAATTATTGTTTACAAAAGAATTTTGCAAGTCGAGATTGCAAACTGCAAGCTGAGATGTCTATCACAATGTGCGGCAACATATCTTCTCTGAAATCTACATATATGCAGATATAGGTTAAATATATTTGACCAACAACAGTGGTGTAGTCCTGGAATGTTAACAAGGGGGGCTCTCCAATAGTGTCCCGAATTGGCGGGAGTGGGGGGGGGGTTGTACAATATGATATTTTGGAAATTCTAAATTTTGTTGGGGTTTATTCTAGTAATTGTGGCACAAAAATTACTCTCATTTAAAACAATTGCCGTTAGTAATATAAAATATTCTGATTTCTGAGTGTTTCAAAAGGGTAAGGAATTCAAGGTTTCTGTTAGTACTACTTTTTGAAGATGTAAAGCCGGTGGTGTATCTTCAAGCGAAAACTACATTCAGTGGTATATATGATTGGTTAGCGAAAAAAAAATTGCCATGAAAAAATAGGACGCGGTGAATTTCCCTTCCTCCAAGCAATTTCTCCCAGTGGGAGAGCGTGGTTCAGAAAATATGAAAATTTTTGGCTGGGACTGTGATTCCTCGTCCAAATTTTCCATATTGCTAACAGCCTAATATTTATAATCTGTAACATATATTTTGAAATATCTTCGAGAAAGCTCTTTAATAGCAGCTGTATTATGTATATAAAATCAACAAAACTGAAGTGAAAATGCTATGGATAGCAGTGCTGTAGGAAGCTCTTTTTGATGGGGGGCTGAAAGCTAGGGCCGAAGGCCCAAGGAAATTTTTAAATTTAGAGTCGCTGAAATGCCATTTCCTGGACTTTGTGGGAAGAGTTGACAGAATTCTGATGGTCAGAAAACAGCGTTTTAGTATGTCGAAATTTACAGTTTAGTAGTACTAAATGGCCATATTTAATTTGGCATATTTAATTTGCAGTTTGTCATGGACAATGTAGCCGCTTAAAATTAATCAATTGTCAGTGTTTTAAGGGTATATTATTTAAATGATAAAGGTCTGCATGATTTTGAAAAAAGAATGATTATTAGCAAAATATTGAGGGGGTGGGGGGGGGGGCCTCCAGCTCCCCCGGTTGCTACGGCTCTGGATAGAGTTTAAATCAGACAAAACAGGATTGGTACTTCAAGAGCCAATTTGCTACGGCGCATGAACAACGCGATTAAGTAAATATTACAAAAATCATTATTATGTTAAATGATGACTGAAAATGAAATGCAATATATATATATATTATATATATTAATATTAATATATAAACATTATATATAATATATTTAAATTTTAATATTCTCCACATAAATTTGTACAGATTGTGCTCACCAATGTCAATGGCCATTCTCTTGGCAAACTTGAGATCACGAAAAGCTTGTGGTAAATTTATGGGTAGAGTATTCTCATGATAACCACTAGATTCTGCTTCAGGTTCTTTACTTTCAGCCATTATACTTAAAAATGTATTTCGTTCCTATTCACATCAAGTATTTCAATAAGTAAACAAGCATTAACTGCTGACCACTTAAAGAATCACAGTCAACCCCACTGATCTGAAATAAAACTGGATAGCGCATCTATAGTGTTGCGTGGTTGTTGCCTGCATTCATTCATTTGAAAGCAGCGGTATCCTGATTCCTGACATGAAAGCACGTGGTATATTTGCTACAAGTCCCACTGGTCGTCCTGTGAACGTATCAAAAACATTTTGAATAAAAACTGTACATCTGAAATTGTATATAACATAATGTTAACAACTATTGCAGAGCCTACAGAAGGAGTTTATCACGTTCAAAGGAATACACAAGCTTTCGTTGCAGAGAAATGCCTTGGAAAAGGTGTTCTTTATGTCACTGAAGAGTAAGTTGCAGAACATGCCCTAAATATAATAATTCGGTATTATGATGATTCGGTATTATGACATATACACCATCAATGTGCAAGCAATGATCCTTTTCCTTAAACCTAGTGAAATGTTCATAAATTATGGTGCATAGTTGGCATCATTTATGTTGCATTTGGTGGTGACCTGATCGTGCATTCCATGTAAACAATGTACCAGTTGAAGAGTTTTGTAGATGGAAATTATCGAGTGTAAATTTTATATTCATGTATTAGACCTAACCAGGAACAATTATGAAAAATGCAGCTATACGTCCTCTGGCAGGAATCGCCCCCAGTGATTTTGGTGTAGCGCTCTGAGCTACAGAGTCCAGTTGTTGAGCTCTATTTAAACCACAAGTTCATGTATGGCAGTAGTGCAGTACGCTATAGTGTTATTAAAGGTATGGGTAAATATCAAGATTTTGTTGGCATCTTACTTGATTGAATAATAAAACCCACAAAACCCTTCAACTATTATTCTATTTAGTGAGATGCCAACAAAATTTTAATATTTACCCAATCAATATGTCAATCAATATCATTCAATTGTAGCATTGCCTATCTACAATTGCAGCTGGCCAGGTGCAAAAAAAATGACAATGCCCCCACCCTGGGTCAAAGAAATCATGACGGAAAAGCAGACGCAATACCTGGGCAGACGAATACCATATATTTTTTAGACACACAATAGACCTTACCAATTATTCTCTTTTACCCAATTAATGGCCTTGTTTCCATGTCAACTTATTTTAGCATATCTGGGAGCAGATAAAGATAATATTCCCATATTTTCCTGGACGAATTTGTTCTTGCTGTTCTTAGGCTCAATAACAATGTAATTTTCAACCCAACCAAGCACAAAACATGAGACAGTAAATATTTGACACAAAAGCGAGGCCATTGTGTGAAAAGTGAATAAATGGTAACCTTGTCTATTGTCTCCAAAATAGACAGCTGATGTACCAATTCATTCAAACTCTTCCCAAAAATATTACATTTTCCTCTTCCAAGTACAGCAATGCATTGTAACATTGGCAAACACAACACAAAATTGATCAAGGGATTATATTGAATGTTTTTGTTGAATGCATATATCTGACACTTCTTTCCATAGTGGTACTCAGGCTTTTAGCCAGGGTCCTAAAACAGGGCGTCCAATATTGGTACAACGATACATCTACAGTAAAGGGGGTTGAAAGCGTTCTTCTGGAAAACTTTTGAAGTTTACGTTACTGTTGTTTTTATAGTTTTAATAATACAATTTGAAATAAAATATATACAATCACATGGTTCAACAGTTTATATAATATGCGGTGCTCATCTTCGAAGTATTGGAAGAAGAAAAGTCACGTGATTCTAAACCAAAACTTCATGTAACAATATTATAAATGTATCATCATAAGATATATCATATAATCTAACACTCCCACTTGATGATATATCTTAACGTTCAACAACATGAAAATCTAAGTATCCTAAAAAAAAATGTCAGTTAATTAATCTCAGTTTCAGTTACTTGATCTCAGTTACGCATAACTGCTTTCTCAACTTCTCAAATGTCTGTCTTGGAAGACCTTTTGTTAAAATGTCAGCGAGCATTTCATCCGTTTGACAATACACAACATGAACAGACTTATCTTGCACTTTCTCTCTCACGAAATGGAATGCTACATCGATATGTTTTGTGCGGTTGTGGAACTTCGGGTTTCTCGATAATTGGATCACTGCTTGGTTGTCCTCGCACATTACTGTAGATTCCTTCTGCTTGACTCCGATATTTTCTAGTAATCGTCTTAGCCAAATAGCCTCCTGAGTTGCAAGACTTAATGCCATGTATTCAGCTTCCGTTGACGATCTAGATACACAAGATTGTTTCTTGCTGCACCAACTAATTGTGCATCCGCTAATCTGAAATATATATCCAGACGTTGAACGTCTTGTTTCTGTGTCGTTTGCCCAGTCAGCGTCGGAATAACCAGTTAAGATACACGTTTAATAGCTTGAAAGGTAATACCAAAGTTTAGTGTTCCTTTAATATATCTCAAAATACTTTTTACACCTTTCCAATGTTCTTGGCTAGGTTTGGTCATATACTTCGACAAAATGCCAACTGCTGCAGCTAGATCAGGTCGTGTTGCCGTTGTAACGTAAGTTAATAAGTTAAACAACCAATAATCTTCTGATATTCATGAATGTTTGCTGGTCTTTAATTATCGGATAACTCGTGGAATTGTTTTCCGGGTTCAAGAGGTGTAGATACAGGTTTGCACTCTTCCATATTGAATCTCTTCAAGACACCTTCCAAGTATTTGGATTGACTTATGGTTAGTGTTCTTGAGTCTCGGTCGCGTTTGATCAACATTCCCAGCATATGACTAACTTCGCCCAAATCTTCCACTTTGAACTTAGTGCCAATTGCAACCTTCTCTTCCTCTAACATAATCACGTCGTTCGAGAACCATAAGATGTCGTCTACATGGATTGATAAGATAACAAAATTGATTTTGCCATTCTGCAGCTTAACAGACTTCATGTACAGGCACGAATCAGCGCCAACTTGCTTGTAACCACTGGATTTCAGGAAACTATCTAGTGTAGAGTTCCAACATCTAGCGGATTGTTTCAATCCATAGAGACTTTTCTTTAGTTTACACACGTGCATGATCAGGATTTTCTTTGCTTCGATAACCTTCGGGTTGCTTCATATATATCTCATGTGTTAGATCTCCTTGAAGAAAAACGGTCCTCGCATCCATTTGATGTATCTCCCAGTCCAAGATGTTTGCTAGAGCCAACAATGATCGAATAGATGTGTTTCGAACAACTGGAGAAAACACTTCATTATAGTCAATGCCTTCTGTCTGCGAGTATCACTGGGCCACAACTGATCCGTCTACCTTTTCAACTGATCCGTCTGCCTTTCGCTTGACTTTGAAGACCCATCGACTTCCCACGATGTTTTTATCTTCAGGCGGAGGTACAAGTTCCCATGTGCCATTTTCCATTAATGCATTGAACTCCGAGTCGGTCGCTTTCTTCCATTGTGTGTTGTACTCATTAGACCAGGCTTCCGAGATATTTCGGGGTTCGTTTATATCTGCAGTAAGATCATCAGCACAGACGTACATTTCTTCGTATCTTTCAGGTGCCCTTCGTTGTCTTGGTTGATTCAAATTTTCCTCTTCACGCATAAAGTTATCTTCATACCTAGCTCCCACTCGATTGTTATCATTTTCTTGGAGAGGAACATTGTTTTCCAAAATCGGTTGAGGATTTTCTTCAACATTCACATTTTCATCACCAGCTTGAATTTGAGCTTGAACAATTGGTGAATTAACTTGGGAAGCTTCCTTTGCTGGGTAGTAGACTTCAGAATTTGATTCAGAAGACTGTTCGCATTTGAACTTATGAAAACTTCTTTCTTCAAATATAACATCTCGACTTCTGATGAAAGTCTTCTTTTTCAGGTCGAACAGTTTAAATCCTTTAGCACCATCGGGATATCCTACAAACATGCACTTTCTGGATTTCTCTTCTAGTTTCTTTCGTTGATGGTTAGGAACATGTACATATGCCACACAGCCAAATACCTTTAAATTGGATACATCTGGTTTGCGATTAAATAGGCATTCGAATAGTGTAGCATTGTTCAAAGAATTAGTAGGACTAGCTTCGGTTTCGTGTATACGTTGCAGTGTTCACCGCTTCAGCCCAGAATTCTTTAGGCATACCAGCGTGATACATCATTGAACGAGCAGCTTCTAGTAGAGTACGGTTCATGCGTTCTGCGGTACCGTTCTGTTCAGGGTTGTACGGAACTGTTGTTTGATGTAGGATTCCATGTTCTTTCAAGTAATCCTTGAATGCTTTGGAGCAATACTCGCCGCCGTTGTTCGATCGTAGAACTTTCACCTTCTTTCCAAGAGTATTGACGTAGCTCACAAACTCTTTAAATTTTTCAAGGACTTCATCTTTACTCTTAAGAAAATACACCTGTGTATACTTTGAATAGTCATCGATAAATGTAACAAAGTATAATGTGAATTCCCAAATGATTTTACATGCATAGGACCACAAACATCTGTATGAATGATTTCAAACAGTTCACTTGCTCGGTGTCGGGTATCTTTTGGAATGGTGTGCGGTGTTGCTTTCCCATCACGCATGATTCACATAATGATGATTCTTTACCATGGTCAGAACAGTTCATTCCTTCAGCCATGTTCTCATTGATCAATTTAGAAATACCGTTCATTCCTAAATGTCCAAATCGACAATGCCACAAATTCTTATCTGGTGCTTCTCTCACAACATTGATATACTCAACTCCAGGAATAATCTTCAGCATGTACAGCTTACCATACAGCTCACCAGTAGCTAGCAGCTTTGAATTTCTCTCTATCTTGCATTGGACACCATCAAATTGAATTAATGCACCTAACTTTCCCATTACTTGGACAGACAACAGATTCTTCTTCAGATCAGGTAAGTACAGAACTTCCTTGAGAGCAATGTTTTGGGTACGTCCGTTACCCAAATCGGCTACAAGATTATAAGTTCCTTTACCAAATGCAAAAATAGTGCGATCATCGCCAAGATTCACATTACAAGGTTGCTTAAATTCAGCATAATTGACCAGTCGACTCTTTTTAGACGTCATATGTTGTGTAGCACCTGAATCTTTAATCCAACCACAATTGATATCGTCATTAGAAGTAAATAAAGCTTCTTGATTGGTGACCTCGTGAACATCTTCTTGCTGTTCTCCTTTTACAACATTAGCAAACTTCTTATTCTTTGGATTCGTTTTGACTTTTGAGGCAGTCTCTCGCAAAATGTCCTCTCTCATGACAAAAATGACAAAGACCATGAAAGGGTCTTTCAGATTTCCGATCACCTTTCTGATAATTTGACTTTCCATCACCTCCTTGAGTGTTACCATGTCGGGGCCATCTTTTGCCTTTTGCACCAAAACCACGCTGTGCAGAAAAAGCATCTTCATTCTTTTTCGTATCAGACTTTCGATCGACATCATTCAAAAGCATTCCTTTTACTTTTTCATATGATAAATTATTTTCTCCAACATCGTCTAAATCTGTGATCAGAGGCTTGAATTCTTCAGGAAGACTACCAAGTAAAGTCATCGCCAATTCTTTATCATCGACATTGACGCCCATTTCCTTCAGTTGGTCATGGAGTGATCTCATATTGTTTATATGCGCTAACATGTTGCCACCACTATGAAATTTACAGGTATAATATTGTTGTCGCAATCTTATTTTCTGTAAAATCGATTCCCGTGCAAATTGATTTTTAAGCGCATCCCAGGCTTCTTTTGCAGTAGTAGTGTCTCTTACGTGTATGTACGCAAATGTACGTCCATGCTTTCTTCGAAGCAGTTCTGAAAGTTTGTTTCACAGCATCAGTAGCACCTTCTCCAGGACTCACAGCCGATCCATCGACATGTCCGTATAAATCCAAACTTTCTAGTAGGTAAAGTCGTATGTTAAACGCCCAATTCCGGTAGTTAGAACCGTAATTTTCAACGCAAAATCTGATGACGTCGCCATATTTTCATCGAATAAACTTTCGCATAGAATACCACATAAACATTATTATTTCGCCAATACACTGCTCCAGGATGGTTTCCAGTTTTCCTGGGCCCATAAACTGTTGTTTTTATAGTTTTAATAATACAAATATGAAATAAAATATATACAATCACATGGTTCAACAGTTTATATATGCGGTGTTCATCTTCGAAGTATTGGAAGAAGAAAAGTCGCGTGATTCTAAACCAAAACTTCATGTAACAATATTATAAATGTATCATCATAAGATATATCATATAATCTAACAGTTATACTTCATGTCAGTGTCTGTTCCAAGCTCGTTCGAAATTTTTCAAACACACTTGGCTTTGTGAGTTTGTGCCGCTATTTGCTTCTTTACTTAACTACGACATTTTCATTCAGCCAGGTACACCATCAAATTGATCAAAATGTTAAATGTTTAATAGTAGTGAGAATTGAAGCTATTTTGTTTCAGATATATAATGTCTATATAATATACTTGGGGAAATAATTGAAAATAATTTCCCGTTTTCCCCGGAATTTGGGCGTCCAAAGGCATCCATTTTTGTTGTAGGGGCATCCCAGGACGCCTGGATGCCCTTCTGGCTATAAAAGCCTGGTGGTACTTATAAAGCACATTTCAGTATACGGTAACAGGTTTCAACCCACCGGAACTGTAAAATAATAGATTACGGCACATAATGTAAATGAAATTCAACAATTTCATTGATCTTGTCTTACCAAGATCTTGCCGTGATTATGCCATGATCTTGGCAAGATTGTGCCATTATCTAGTATAAAGTTTCTGAAACGTTCTCTGATCGTAAATTTTTTATTTGAAACACAAGCTTTCGACTGCCAGTCTGCAGTCTTCGACAGGTAAAGTGATAATAAACTATTCTATACGGATATAGCTACAAGGACAGTGGTTTACAATTACAATTATAATGACATGCAATATAACAATGATTAGTTCCGCCTACGTAAACTCTCAGTGAAACGAGTATACTTATAAAATATAAAACTATGTCTATGATCTGTTCTTTTTTAATAAAAATCTATATTGTTCTGGTAAATGTTGTGCATTGTTGTCAGAATTGGCTGTGGTTGCTGTATGCCAGGACTCCATTGTTGCTCTGTGTCGATAGGTTGCCTTGTCTAAGATTTCGCACTCATCAAAGTTGATTTTATGGTCCTGAGTCCAATCATGTTTTGCTATGTTTGAGCCGGATTTCCATTGTTTCACGTTTCTTTTATGTTCCTTTTTTCTCGTTTTGAGAGCTCTACCAGTCTCACCTATGTAGCTCCAGGAGCAGTCTGCGCAATTAATCTTGTACACGACGTTGGTCTGTTTTTCGGGAAGTGGTCTGTCCTTTGGTGACGGAAAGCCTTGTTCTAATGTTCGGAGTGGTTTCGTTGTTGTTCTGATGTCGTATCGTTTGAGTAGTCTTTTCAGGGGTTCCGTTGAGCCGTTAATGTAAGGGAGGACTGCGTAGCTGGAATTTTTCTCTGGTTCGACATTTTCGAAAAACATACGTACAAGTTCTTCGGGTGATGGCACGAATTCTGTTTTTCTTGCACGTCTCTTCTCACTTCTTCCAGAAATATTTTAGGATACCCATTACTTCTCAGAGCGACAAAAACACGATCTTTCTCTTGTTGCTTGCCTTCGTTCGTGTTAGGGAGATGGGTTGCTCGGTGAAGGAGTGTTCGTGCTGCGCTGATCTTGTGTTGTTTGTCATGATGTGAGTTGTAGTCAAGGTATCTGTCAGTGTGTGTAGGTTTACGGTAGACGTTAACGTTGAGACACCCGTTGTTACGGGTTACCATTGTGTCTAAGAATGAGAGTTGTCCGTTTTGTTCTTGTTCAATAGTGAAGTTTATGTGTGGGTCAATGGCATTCAGTAAATTGTGGAAATTAGTAATAGCGTGTTTTTTGATGATTGAAAAAACATCATCCACAAAGCGAAACCATTTTTTAGGTGGCGTGTCGGTTCGGTTAAAGGCTAGTTCCTCGATTTCCTCCATACAGAGGTTTGCCACAATAGGGCTAACGGGACTGCCCATAGCACAACCGTGAATTTGTTTGTACGTCTCGTTATTATAGTTGAAATAGCTGTTTGACAAAGTAAAGCGTAAGAGTTTAATGATATCGTCAATGGATAAATTAGAACGTTGTCCTAGTGTGTCATCTTTGCTAAGTTTGTTGCGAATGTGTTCACATGCTCTATCGACTGGAATGGCAGTAAACAATGACACAACGTCAAATGAAATCATAATTTCGTCATCCTCAATGGTGGTGTTAATCAGTTTATTAGTGAAGTCAGTAGAGTTAGTGACTGAGTAACCGTTGTGATTTTGTAATGGTGACAAAATATGTGCAAGGTGTTTGGACATGTTATAAAGAGCGGTGTTCCTACATGTTACAATGGGACGAAAAATTCCAGCTACGCAGTCCTCCCTTACATTAACGGCTCAACGGAACCCCTGAAAAGACTACTCAAACGATACGACATCAGAACAACAACGAAACCACTCCGAACATTAGAACAAGGCTTTCCGTCACCAAAGGACAGACCACTTCCCGAAAAACAGACCAACGTCGTGTACAAGATTAATTGCGCAGACTACTCCTGGAGCTACATAGGTGAGACTGGTAGAGCTCTCGAAACGAGAAAAAAGGAACATAAACGAAACGTGAAACAATGTAAATCCGGCTCAAACATAGCAAAACATGCTTGGACTCAGGACCATAAAATCAACTTTGATGAG